AGGTCACAAAGGCAAAAGTGATAGTTACAGGGTTTGAATCCAGCACCTATGACTCAAAAATCTAGCATAACCTCTATTCTGCAACAGTGCTTTTCAGACTACACAATAATCATAATTCTTTTGCCTTCATAACCTCTCCATGCCTTTTCCTTTCCCCTAGTCTTCCATATGCTTCTCCTGTACCTAGTACTGTGCCCTTTTCTTCATCTTGATGATCTCCTTGATTCCCATGGGTTCAGTTATTATTTCTGTTTGGATGACTCCCAGCCACATATCTTTAACTTTAGTCCTATATATCTGTCTGCCTTGCTTAAATTTTCTTTTTCTTTTTTTTTTAAATAAATATTTATTTTTAGTTTTCAGCATTCACTTCCGTAAGATTTTTTTTGTCAAGGTGAATTGGGGTTAAGTGACTTGCCCAGGGTCACACAGCTAGTGAGTATCAAGTGTCTCAGGCCAGATTTGAACTCAGGTCCTCCTGACTCCAGGGCCAGTGCTCTATCTACTGCACCACCTGGCTGCCCCCCATAAGATTTTGAGTTTTAAATTTTCTCCCCCCCCCCCACAGCATACAATCTGGTTTTAGGCTCTACATATACATTCATATTTTCCCATTAGTCATAATGTAAAGAACAGTTAGAACTAATGAGAAGAATCTGGAGAGTAAAGCAATAAAACAAAACAACAAAGGAAAGCGAGAGCAAAAAGTATGCTTCCATCTGCATTCAGGCTTCATATTTCTTTCTCTGGGTGTGGATAGCAATTTCCATTATGAATCTTTTGTAGTTGTCTTAGATTCTTGCATTGTTGTGAAGAGCCAAGAACCCCAAATGAGTCACAAAGAGTCATACATGACTGAAGAACAGCAACAACAAATCATATCTTTAGCATAGCACAGCACAGCACAGCACAGCATGAAGTTTTCAGTAAAGCATTTGACAAAGTGTGCCATACTATTCCTGTAGAAAAGATGGAGAGGTATGGGTAAGATAATAGTACAATTGGGTGGATTTAGAAATGGTTGACTATCAAACTCAGTCATCCCATAATGTGGCTGTTCCTGTGTGCAATGTTCTTCAGGTTCTACTAATTTCACTCTGCATCAGTTCATGTAAGTCTTTACAAGTTTTTTTGAATTCTGCCTGCTCATCATTTCTTATAGCGCAATAGTATTCCCTTACATTCATATACCACATCTTGTTCAGCCATTCCCCAATTGATGGGCATCCCCTCAATTTCCAATTTTTTGCCACCACAAAGAGAGCCGCTATAAATACTTTTGTACATGTGGGTCCTTTTCTCATTTTATGATCTCTTTAGGATACAGCCTTAGAAGTGGTATTGCTGGATTAAAGGGTATGCACAATTTTATAGCCCTTTGGGCATAGCCTTGTTTAAGTTTTCTAGTATTATTTCTGGCAGGCCCCTAAAGCATAACATGTCTAAAACGGAATTAATTATTCTCACTTCCATTTCCCTCCTTTCAACTTACATATTTATACTGATCCAATCACAGTCCAGTAAACATTTATGACATTGATGGCACCACCTTCCTAGATACTCAGGCTTTAAACTTCACAATCTAAATTAGGGCCATTCACAGAAGGAGTTGAAATGAGAGTCCTCTGTGAGTTGAAGGAGTTTTAAAATGATGAATCTTGATCAACTTCTCTTACTCATTTCAGTTCCTGCATTTGGAAACAAACCCCCCTCTAAATGAGTGTGATTAGAGTTTGCCCTAGAGAGAGGAAAAGGAGAAAGTCTGCACTTAAAGACTTACACGTCCAAAAGAGATTTATTAGAATATGCTGTTTACAACTGTATGGAGATCAAAGTGGGGGGTGCTCTGGTCTTTTAAATCTGGGTTCAGATTGGAGTAGTGAATGAAAGAAAAAGTATTCCTTGCTTTTTAGAATTTCAAGTTTTATGAGAGAGAAGGGGAAAACGGCACACAGAGAAGAATGCAACTACAGAACATTTCAATAGATTTGAACCTGGTGGTCCAAAGGCCAAAGTAGGTCAAGACCAATGATTGCTTGCTTGCCAGGATTGTCTGGAGTGTGGTGGGATAAGGCATGTGGAAGTGCCTGTATTGGCTAGAGGGTCCAGGGGTTTGGATGGCAAGTAATCCAGCTTCATTGGAGTATAAAGAGAAAGATACAACTGATGTGCCATTTTAATTAATAAAAACATTGATTTCTAATGTTGAATTATTTTTCAGTGCCAAGGACTTTAGTGTTAAGAACTTTCTTTTGTGTCCATAGCTAGCTATGGCTGCTGATGCTATAGCCCCAACTTACACAGCAGCCACTGTCACTGGACAGTAGGGGCTACAGAACCAGCAGCCAAGGCATGTCCCTAGTGGGGATGCTACCCTGGCCATTGGGTGTGGGATTGGCTAGGGGCAGAGCTAGTGGCCTTCAGGGTACTACTACTTAAGGTTTTTGGACTTAGGGCCCTGGTGACTGCCTTTGACAGGGCGTGAGGGCAATGGGTGGTAGTTGTGGTTTTGGTCACTTGCTACCTCAAGGAAGCCATTCTGTTACTTCCAGTTGACTTGCTTCCTGATGTAATATCATGGTATGGTGTTTCCTTACTAATGATATTACCATACCTTCTCCAAAATGGCTTACCAGTTTTCCATTTTGTATAGTTAAAGTCCCATTTCTGACTCTTTAGATATGTTCTCTCCTTTTTAGGGGATCATAGGGGATTGGTGTAGGGAGCACAATATTATCTGTTACTGGTTCTGTACTTTGAGTTCTCCGATTGCATTAATTAACTGAAAGGGATAAGAATATGGGACTGGGATGCTTCCCAGTTTACACAAGTTTAGCCAACAAGAGGATTTGTAGGCTCTTATCTCCAGTCCCAGGTGCTGTGGGGCTATTTGGACCCACATGGACACTTAGCTATGAAGTTATATTTAGGGTAATTGGGAGAGACCTTCTTTGATTGATTTTAGGGGCAAAAGCAAAAAGTACAAATAAGTGGTTTTAAATCATATATTATAGTATATACATGGTGGGTATACAGGATAGTAGCCAACCAGTATGGGAAAAGATCTTTCCAGGGAGTATTATCTCTTATAGCCTTGGATTCTTCTCTCAAGGGAGGATCAGAGGCTATATGGCTTTTACTTTGGGGAATCTACATAGCAATGCTAACTAAGCTTCTTAGGGGAATAAACAGTAAATACACAAAGAAATCCGTTGTGAGGGATGCATATATACCATCCCTTCCACCGGGGAGGCTGAGGCTGAAGAGTTCTTTACTTATCAAGTGTTCACCCTGAGTTTGACATAACTACGATGAGCTTCTAGGATCACCAGGTTGCCTAAGGAGGGATGAAGTAGCTCAGATGTGAAACATAGCAGGTTGGCGCTCCTGTGCCCATCATATTGGGATCAGGTTTGTGAGTAGTCTCTGTACTTCCAGCCTGGGTGAGATAGGGAAAACTAGTCTTTTTTTTTTTTTCTTTTTTTGTCTAGGCAGTGGGGGTTAAGTGAGTTGCCCATGGTCGCACAGTAAGTGTCAAGTGTCTGAAGCTGAATTTGAACTCAGGAGCCACATGGCTGCTCCCGTGAAAACTAGTCTTTAAAAAAATATACTAAGGTCTTAGCAGGGTTGGAAAGGCCATAGTTATTAAAATAGTTATTTAGGAATGTGTGTAGGCATGTGTATATTTTATAGTAAGCAGAATTATCAATTCCTATTCCCTAGAATGAGGGAAGATAGCACTTGAAGTTAAAAAATTCTAAGAGGCAAACATATTTTTATACACATAAGAATAGTAATTTAAATTATAAACCAGACACTGTGAAATAAGCTGCTGGAGACATAGTACAAAGCTTTATTGAGGATGTTTGCTTCTTAATCATGTTATTTTTATGATTTGCCCCCTCCTCCATTAGATTGTAAACTCCTTGTGAATAGGGATTAATTTTTTTTGTAATTATAACTGCAGCTCTTTGCAGAGTGCCTGGTATATAGTAGATGTTTAATAAATAATTGTTGATTGGTAGATTGAACGTTTCCTCATATCATAGAAAATACAGTTAAGCAACATTCTGCATCCCTTGTTATAAGGCCTTTCTCCTGGGTGGGGAGACGTGTTTTTCTTCCTTTGCCCTCCAGAGCCAATTGTAATTAGTCATTATAATTAGTCAGAGTTGAGTTGTCTTTTAGTGTTTTGATTAACAGTTATTGTAGTCATTTTGTATATTCTGGGTCTATTGACTTCATTTTACCTCAATACACACAGGTCAGCCTGCGTTCCAGTTACCCAGAAGAGACCTGAGTCATTTTTGACTCTTCTCCTTTCCTCCTTCCTTTCCTCCTCCCATTCAGCCACTTGTTTAGTGCTGTCAATTCTACTACTTCCATTCTATATTCTGCCTTTCTTTTCCACACACTCTGCCCACCACCCTTGTTCAGGTCCCCACTGCCTCTTGTCTAGACTTTTGGAGAGAGTTTGTTTTGTTTTTTGTCCTTGTGTTCTCAGTACCAAGCATAGTGGTTGGCATGTAGTTGTTTCTTACTAAGTATTGCTCTGAAGATGAGTGATTGATTCTTTAAAGTCTGAGGACTACGACATTAAGTTCAGACCCAGGTATTCATGGAGCTCATAGAAGAAGAGGACATTTACTAAAACAGAGAAGATAACGTGTATTTCTAAAGGTTTATTCATTATAATTTTTCTTTCTCCTCTCAAACTCTGTATTTAATCTCGTTACTTTAAATGACCAGATGTATATTAAAATATAAATCAGGCTTTACAAAGCATCTGTGCTGTTATCTGGAGTTGTTTTATCTTTATTCTGAACCTACTGTTTTGAGTTTCACAATTGAGATACAGATCACAGTAAGATGGTCTGTAAATCTCTTGCTTTTTAACAAGCATCGTGAGCTCCCTGTCTCTTATTTTAGAGGGACAATTTTAAATTAGAGCACTCTGATGTAAGATTTGCAACTGATAATTGTGCTATTTGTTCTTTCAGGGGGAATCATTTTATACTCCAGAATTAGGACAAGTATGTGAGAATTCCCATCGGCCAGTGTGGATTTCTTTCTTCAAGCTCTCTTCCAATACAACCAGCTATATAAGTTTCTCAAATAACCCTTCTTTGTGCCATGTTCTGTGGCTTGCATCAAAAGAGGAATTTGTCTTCATGAAGATTCCTAACATTGGTAATGTGATGAATAAATTTGAGATCCTTGGGGTTGTAGGTGAAGGTAAGTTAGATTTCCTGAATTAACTGAATTCTTGAGGAATGTTCAGTAAAACCTCATTAATTATTTTAGACTCAGGTAGTTTGAAATTTGTAATAATTCGTTCATATCTCTCATTGAGTAAAATACTGAAATTTCCTTCTGTAAAATTTGAGGATAGCATAATCCAATCTACAAGCAGTAGATTTTTGAATTGAATAAATAAAGTGAAAGGATCAGTAACTTCTAATTGCTTAAAATGTATATATTTAAAATTGGCAGATGCTATATAGCATTATTTTTACTTATAAAATACTTTATTGGTCATAGTTTGAAACAGTAGCATTTCTTAGTTTTTCTAGCTAAATAAACTACTCAGTCTTTTTGCATCAAGTTTACAAGTTCTTGTGAAGGAGAGGTGATTTTTTTTCTTAAATAAGAATCCAATGTGATGATTACCCCAAAATCTGAAACATGAAGCTGTAGAAAACGAATGGCATCTTCCTGTGTGCCACAGATATTTTCCCTTTTTGTATTAATTAGTGTTCCTAAAAATGAAGATAGTTTTACCTATGTAAATAAATGTATCAGAGAAATAAATCAGATAATTATTTCATTTGCACAGGGAGCACTATATTACCACCCTTCTTTCTGTTACCTGCCTTGATGAATCCCTCCATTTTCTCTGCTCACACAAAGAGTAGATAGAAATTGACATTTTGGTTTGGATAAGATTAGTTATCAAGATAAATTTCCCAGGAGGCAGTGAAAAGTTTTTCTATTAAGGCAAGTTAGCTGTATACTGGGGAAATCTGGGACCATATTGAATGTCCTGTTGCCATGTACATGAGAGAAAGTGTCTTTGTCTTTTTCTCCTAAACTTCAGAGATTCTGTACTCATGCTGACTATAGGATGGGTTATCCCCCAGGACCTGGTAATGCTTACTACTAGCTATAATTATAATTCCTGTTGTGCTAGAATGTGAATAAGAATTTTTTTCCCTTGCTAGGATAAATACTCAGACATTCTGTAGAAGATTTAAACATTTTATAGACCAAGATATTTTGACAAACTTTATGTTTGATCTCACTTGGGAGTGATTAGTGGACTTTTAAAATATGAATTTTCAAGCACCTAGTATCATTTTAGTAAATTATCAATTATAGAGAATTAATAAGTGGAATTCTGGTATTCTGAAAGAGTTGATATTTGCCCCCAAATTGAGAACTTAATCTTTTGCTTGTAGGATAATGCCAATTTTTAAGTACCTGTAGTATTCCTTAATCTTGGGCCACTGCTAATGGTTTTCTTCAAGTAAAGGATACCTAAAAATACTTGTTAAATTGATGGGAGGAGGAGTCAGGAGAGGGACTTGAAATTATCTTTTTTTTTTAAGAATTTTTATCCTTTAGTTTTATTTCATAAAGCATTGAGATTTACTGATACTAGATTCATAAAATATGTGGAGTGAGGGTTTAGCCACTCTAAATATTCTAGCATGTATACATTTGTTCATATTTCTTTATTTTTATTACAGGTGCCTATGGGGTTGTACTAAAATGCAGGCACAAGGCAAGTAGAGATTTTTAAAAAAGAATGTGCATGTATTTAACTGTTTTGAAACTAATTTGGTGCCGTGTACTTAATACTGTTTGGAATGATGATGTTACTTGATAACTGAAATTGAAATTACTATATGAATGCAGAATAAGAATAGAAGTATGATTAACTTTCACAGCTGGTGCAGGCCTTTTCCTGTTTAGTCAAGATCTGTGATCATATTTAGCCAGTTTAAAGAAGTAATATAATGGTCAGCAGGTGCATCATGAGCTCATTTTATTGTTGGTTGGGATAGGAGGATGAAACAGAATGGAAACTAAAGCATTTATTTTTGTGTTAAAGTTACACATAAATATTTATGGTCAAGGAGGAGGTTCATTAAATATTATTCCTGTTGACCTGCAAATCCTTAAAGCCTCAGGAATTTAAATTTAGATTTCAAGAGGGAGAATAATGAATTGGTATTAATATGGGATGTAGTTTTACTCTCCCTTGAATTGAATCATATTTGTAGAATACTTGACTATAGAACAAGTTTTTTAGAGAAATTGTATGGAATTTTTGGAGCTGCTGCTTATCGGATAGTATGTGATACATAAATGGTAGCCATCAGGTAGCCAGGGTTGAAGCTGTTTAACATGTTGTTACTATAATGATAGTAATTATGATATAGATTCCCAGTTGTGTTGTACTTCATGTTTGCACATTGTTAGGATCTGTGTTTTATCTTTTGACATAAAGTGTTGGCAAATTGCTTGAGAGTTCAGCAAGAGAATTTACTTCAAATTCTGATATAAGCTTATTTTGCAAGATTTTTATTTTCTTTCCTTCTCTAAAGATCTTTATATGTGCTTAAGTTGAAGGCCTTAACAGAGTTTAATTTGAAGAAATAATGTTTTTTTCTTAAGGCTAGTTTCATGTTTCAAGTAGCTTATCTTCTAATTCATTACATATTATTACCTCAATTGCATGTTCTTGACTTATTTCACCTATAATATATATTTTAACATCTACTTGCCAGAATATTTAGGGGAAAAATGTTATTTTTTCAGAACTTGATTAAGGATCTCTAGGAATTAAAAATAGCAAATGAAAGGAAATAGAGTAAGCTCAGGACCTGTAATACCTTTTAAAGAACATATTATTGTACAATCATTTTGTAATTATTTTAGTTATTTATCTTCAAGTATTAAAAATACCTCAGGCTGTTCTAAAGTAAATTCCTGAGAGTCTTGTTCTGAGGAAACATTATTAGTATCCAATGTTAAATATATGCTTACACCTTGAAGAAAAGATATTTTTCTGATGATTTAGCCCATTTACGTTCTATAGCAAGTAGAAGCTTTAGTCCTAAACTTAGAATTCATGGTCATCTATGAAATGTAAATCATCTAACAGTTATATATTGTTTCTTAGAGATAGGGATTGGACCTATCATTGGTTTAGGTTATTCCCAGGTGAGGAATTTCCCTATACTAATGCATGTTGGTAATCTTCTAAAGCATTGAAAAGGTTAAGTGGCATATACATACAAAGTCACATAGCCATTATGTATCTGAGGTGGGTCTTGAATTTAGGTCTTCCTGGCTCCAAGGTCAGTTCTCTATCCATTTTTCTATTGAAAGTTTTTTCTTCCAGCAACTCTATCCTTATTTTTTTCTGTAACCTATCTCATCTTTGGGATTGGAGACCAGGTCATGGAACCCAATATTACCTTGACTTCATTAAAGCCTTTCCCCTTCTCTTGGGGGAATTTTTTCCCCCTTGGGTATTATAAGACTTTCTTAGTAACTAGATAAGTTATGATCATGGTGATGAAGGTAAGGTTTCCAATTCAAATCCTGTATAGTTCATTTATCTTTAATTGATTCCATAGCCATAGACCACACATTGCACTTATCTTGTGATGAACAAGAATTCATTTAATACCTAAAACATGCAAATCACTATATTAGGTGCTGGGAATACAAAGACAAAAAAATAAAAACATCTCTATCCTTAAAGAGCTCATATTCTTTTGAGGGAAGCGATAAGTAGAAAAGTAAATACAAAGGAACGTTAAGGTTGGTAGCAAGGGAGAGTGCTAACAATTTGAAGATTCAGACAATGCTTATGTAGGAGGTGGCACCTAAACTAAAACTTGGAAGGAGGAAAAGAGGAAGGCTGCTATGGAGTCTTTGAGGGATCAGTGAAGAGGAAGACTATTCAGGGCATGAGGATGGGCCTTGTGAAGGTATGGATGTGGGAGATGAACTGCTATCATTGGAGAATGGAACAGAGACTATTTTGGCTGCAATATAGGGTGAGTGATAGGGAGTAGTTTGTAAGAAATTTAGAAAGGTCTACTACAGCCAGATTGTGAAGGAAATAATTTGCAAAAATTCTGGAAAGGAAGGCTATAGTTTGTGAAATGCCAGACAGGGTCATTTGTATTTTATTCAAGAGGCAAGAGGGGACCAGTGAAGCTTTTGTTGTTGGGGAGCAACAAAATCAGACCTTTGTTTCTGGAATGTTAATTTGGGAGCCATTGGGCAGTTGGAGTCAGGAAGACAGACCAATTAGGCTATTGCAATACTCCATTTAAGAGGTAATAAGAGCCTGAACTCTCAAAATGATAGTATTGTGAGTAGAGGGAATGGGTCAGATGTGAGAGATATTGTGTAGAAAGCATCCGAGAGTCATGGTTTGATATAGGGGATGTGCGAAAATGAAGAGTCAAGAATGGCTCTGGGGTTGCAAACCCTGTGCATCTAGAATAATGATGGTGTCTTCTACAGAAATAGAGAAGTTAGAAAGAAGGTTCAGAATGGTGTGTCATCTTTTGAACATATTGAATTTGCCATGTATGTAGAGCTTCCAGATAGAGATGTCCACCAGGAACATCTCAGGAGAGAGACTAAGGCTTGTATATATGAATTACGGAGTCATCTACTTAGGATAATTTTATTCTGGGAGCTAATGGGATCACTGAGAGAGTATATAGAAAAAGGAGGAGAGCAGATTCCTGAGTTAGGATGTTGGTATAGATATTAAACTCACAAAGGAGACTGAGAGGGACTAGTCAGGTAAGAGGAGAATCAGGTGAAAGTAGAATTACAGAAACTGAGGGAGGAGCTTGGGAAGCAAGGTAATCATATAGTGTCAAATGCTATAGTCAAGAGGTCAAGAAGGATGAGGATAGCTTTAGCAATTGAGAGATCATTGGTAAACTTTGGAGTTTCTGCCAAAACCACATTACTAGAGGTTGAGAAGTAAGTGGACAGTGAGAAAGTGGAAGCAGTTGAATACAGATGACTTTTTACTAGCAGTTTGGCTGTGAAAGGGAGAGATAGAGAATCAGAACATTTGTTGCTATTAACGAAAAAACATTTCGAAGTGCATGCTGTAGTGACAGTGTAGCCCAGTAGTTTCAACTTCGTGTAGGAAAAATAGGACTTTTTTTTGTTTGTTTGTTTTCTAAGTGGTCTTGTATGTTTTAAGAAAAATGTCTGGGTCTTAAAGGAGGCAGAGAAAAGTGTCAGAACCCACTACTGGCTAAGACTGAAGTACCTTACATGAATTTTATTGTTTGATGGAACATTTTATAGTTGTTAATGCATCACTGTAGACTGCCAGCAGAAAAGACTTAAGTTTTAAATGGAAAATAACTACACTCTCATTTTGATAGCTCATTTTTTTTTTCTGTACCACAGGAGTTCAGACTAGTCTGCCCAGTTCACTTGAATACAACTATACTATAGACACTCTGTATTTGTGGTTATTCTAGGTTGTCCTAAAGCTATTTCTTTTGTATTTAAAAGGGTTATGTTTAGGAACCTACAAGCGTGGAAATTTTAGCTTCATCCCTATGTTGTATGCTCTGCTGGGCGCAGAGGATATCAAGATTTGAAGCATTATCTTTGGCCTCTGGGTGCTTATTCTAGTTTGGAAAACAGGACACCTACATACATATAGTTTGGTCAAGTAGCACCTTCTACACGTAGCTTTTTTTGATCTCACCCCTTCTTCAGTTGCTTTTGACCTCTCCCTGGCCCCATTTTTTTGAATTGTATTTATCTGTACTGTGTTTTATTAATGCGTATGTTGTCTCCGTTGGATGAATGCTAACTCTTAGAGGGAAGACACTGTTTAATTTTTGTCTTTGTGAGCCCAGGGCCTAGCACGATGTCTGGCACATTAAAAGGTATTTAACAAGCTTCTTGATTAATGACCATTACATTAAAAAGTAAATAATTATGCAAGGGCTAATGCAGTCTGGATGGGCATTGCATCATGGTATCGTCTTAGCAAGAGGCTCACACAAGACCAACTCCTTGAATGTCAATTCTTTCTGTTTTTCCTTTCAGTGTTCTTTCTGTTTTACAGCAGCCAGAAAGAATGGCTCTGGGTGGAAAATTTTAGGCATAAATTAATGCTTAACTTAGAGTAACTGAACTCATTTTAGAATCAGCAGCTGTTTAGTCAGTAGACTTTCTACAGTACGTCTTTTTTTCAGCTAAAATAGACTTTCAGATCTGAAATCCAGCTTTTAAAAATAGAACCAGAATTGGTGGTGCTCTTAGAATGATTTAGGATCTAAGAACAAGTGAACAAATCAAGATATATAATTGAGAATTAATGAGGATATTAGAATACTGTTTTATTCACAAGATAGTACAATTCACCATACATTCTGGACGACCTTTTTGAAATATAATGAGGAGTGCTGACATGTTTCATACCCTGGAAATTGAAAGGATTTTAAAGTGAGGCTAATTCTTTTTTGTATTGAGTATGCTTATATTCTATGGTTCTCTAATTCTAAATACAGTATACTGTATCAGAATAAATACCAAAGAAAGTCGTAGGTCTAATCCAGGGGTGGGCAACCTGCAGTCTCAAGGCTACATGTAGCCTTCTAGGTCCTCAAGTGAAGCCCTTTAACTGAATCCAAACTTCACAGAACAAATCCCCTTACCAAAAGGATTTGTTCTGTAAAACTTGGACTCAGTCAAAAGGCCACATCCAAGGAC